AAAATTATCGAAAGCAAATGTTCTTTAATCTACCCAACACTCTATATAAAAATCAACGAGAGTGGGGTAAAATTTTTATAGAAGGTTTTCTGAATTGATAGGATAGATTATATCACAAATGTGTCATCCATATATAATTTATGTGAAAAAGTCTAACAAGCCCTGGGGTCTGTATTTATGTGAAAAAGTCTAACAGGCCCGGGGGTCTATATTGGGGGAGGGGGGGGGTCCTGTCCTCAAGCACCTGTGCCGTTTACAGGTTTTAGATCAACAACTTAATAAATTGAGATTAGATGTTCCCGTGAATGATCTACATAATTATGTATTTTTAAAAAGTTGGATTAATGTAATATATGTAATCTTGTTAATTCAGGATTACAACATTGTCAGTGTTGAAAAGATTTTCTAAGAGATTTTTTTTTTCATTTTTCCCCACAGGTTTTGTTGATAGCCTGTCCGCTTCTCAAATGAGAATAGGGGTCTGCCTTGCACACCAAACTATATGGAAAATATTTTTAATTTAGAACATGGTCATGCCATGTACCACCTAGTATGATGAGCTTAATGTGAAAGAACAAAGACTGGTCACAAACCTGCACAGGATTAAATCAACAAAAGTGCCAAGTGATGTGTCCCATGTATGCACGGCTGAGTTGCACATGACTGGATTTCAATGATTTAATTATCATGTTTAGAACTCCAATTTTTCAACTATACTGTGTATATCAAGAATGTGAATATAATTAACTTTTGTATATCATAACTCAAAGACAAACTGCATCAATATAAATATTAAATAATTTAATGTGACTGTAATGAAATATTATTAAAATCATTGTAATATTTAATTTTAGACTTTTCCTTTTCTATAGTGAGCTTATATTGGTGAGCACTGTTTTAGATGCACATGTATGGCATATTTAATGTCTTTTTAAAATATTTATTTTCAATGTATCAATCACAACTACAAAAAGCAAAATCATAATCGCTGAGCATCATGTTTAATCTTATCAGCAGCTTTGAAAAACAAACACTAGTAATTAATTTTTTTATATATGCAAGATCTACTGTCACTATGATCAAACTGTCTGATCTTGAATCAACTGATTAATTAGAGCTTTTAATAACTTACTGTAGCTCAAAACACACAGCAGGGACGTAACAACCGAGGGGGCCTGCCCCCCCCCCCCACTTTTTTCCCCAACATTACCTTTACTATAGTAAATGTACATTGAAAGGATGGATGCCCCCCCCCCCACTTATTACCATAGTATAGTGATATGAAGGAAATGTAGGGGAAAAAATTGGAAGTGAGAGTAACTTGCCTTTGAAAAAGGTGGCCACTATCCCCCCCCCCCCCCCCTTCCCCCTCGAAATAAATAGGATTTTCGAGTTTGGGCAACTTTTAATTTTCGGTTTTTTTTTTTTTTTTGCTCGTCAGCTTTTTTCAGGTATGTTAGAAAAATTTTTCTCTGGTTGCCCCCCCCCCCCCCACTTTCAAAAACGATGCTACGTGCCTGCACAGGCACTTGTAAATATTATCCTTTTTTTTCTTTTTATGAAATTAAACTCCCTATACCTTGTTAAGTATGACTTTAGGGGAAAAAAATTTTTATATTAAAAGAATCATATTTAAATGGACACAACTTTACCCCTTTTAGCCCTATGGTAACTTTCAAACCCTAAAAAAGTTTGACAAGCTAAACTACGGAAAAAAAGGAAAAATGTGTCCATTTCGTACAAACTCGGGGGGGGGGGGGGGGGGGGGGGGGGGGTAGGATCGAAAATATTGCCAAAATTAAAAAAAAAAAAATGGGGTGGCTATAAACTTGCCAAAGAATACTCGTATTAGTACTCATTACTTGTGTTACTGTACCATAGTCATGAATAGGGGCCTGTTGCGATATCAGCGTTGTCAAACACTGCTATTAAGCATAAGATGTTTGCTCTTTAAAAATTTCACGTATTAATAGGCCTATCTGTTTCTTATATATGAACTTTTTTTTCATCGAGCAGCATCTTGAGCAACCTCGCATGCATTTTGACAGCTTCTCTGTGATCATGGTCATCATCTGTCATGTCAAACTGTATAGCTTTTTTACACATTAAAAACAAGATAAATACCTCAAAAGCTGCTCAAAGAACTCTTTAGTGTATTAGTAAAAAGAATTTGGTACATTCGGCAAAAGTTTAATTCATTCCATGCTAAAATATCTCGACAATGTAGATGTAAATAACGTAATCTTTGTAATGCCGGATGTTTTCTATGCATCCCGGTGAGGGCGCTGCAATCGGAGGGAGATCGTATAGTGATATCTATTGTGACGTCATCGGAGTCGGCGGTCCCTTCGTTTTAGGTCTATGATATTATGTTCGATTTCAAAATGACGAACTCAATTTCGAGGAGTGATACAGCGCTAAGCTTACGAAAAACAGTGCCACTGAGCAAGTTATATACTCTACCTAATCGTCTAAAAATATACAACTGGAAATCCCCGACCCTATGTCGGCTACTTTATTGTGGGAGTTATCATAATAGGTGTTAATTAGTACAGTCGATATTAATTTTCGTATTTACGGAAATCCTGTGTTTGTGGATAATGGCGGATCTTATCTCTGAACAATATGGTGCATATCAATAAGTACTGGCAAACATGTCACAAATCTTATTTCTGCAGTGTAATTCGAAAAAGTTAATACAAGTACCGTAAAAAGATTTATTGGGCATGTGTATTTAAAAGTTTCAATGAATTTCTAAAAATCAAATTGGATCAAATCTATTGGTAGTACATGTACGATTCCATTAAAACAAATGTTTAACTAGCTTCTATATATAGTCTTGATCTGTATTAAAATATTTTGCTGCAGAAAATTCCTTTAGACTGAACGCTTGGGTGTTGTGGCTATTTCATTCTTGTCAGCATGTTTTACATAGTGAAGAAAAAAAACTGAAGCATTTTAAAGTAATTCCGCCAAAATGAGTCAAAGGAAAATACTCGCAAATTTTAGTATGATATATTTTTATTTCTAAGTAGAAGAGTATACTAGTATTCAATTAAACATTTTTATTTTAAAAAGAAATATTGACAAATCAGCTTCAAATATTACACGAGAAAAATAATGGTCAAACGTTTTTAGTTTTCGGTACAAATAAATTATAATTCATGTGCGTGAGAGTCAGAGATGAAGGATAAGAATGGTTTTTCATCAAAAAGACAAAATTTAATGCAATATCCTTATACCCAAAATTGATATTATAGCAATGTAATGAAAAAAGAAGTAAAGTCTTCGGGGATTTTTGTTACATGTTGATATCAAGATGCTGCATGAATAAGGATTGGTATCATAATTAATGAGACATATTGAAAAAAAAATATTGTTGTTTTATTCAACTGTAGCATATTCAATACAAAATTTAAAAGTTCAATTTCTATTCATTATTTGTATACCCAGTAACTTTTATTGATTGCGTGTATATATTACAAGTTCCCATGCTAGGATTTTTTTTTTTTTTTTGTAAAACCGTTTATATAAAAATTATAACTTTATAAATATCTATGACTAAATAAAAATAGTTCAAACAAAATTTTAAGGCATTTCAAAAATCTTTTATTCATAATCCTAATTATATGTTATCATTAAGGATGTTTTTAATGGAACAAATAAAAAATGATATCTCATTTCTCCCTGTGCTTCAAACACAACCGCCAATAGATCGATCACCTATGCGGCCGATAATAACAAAGACAGGCACGGTCGCCTACAGTCAATTTTGAATTTTAGTAAGTACGAATAATATTCTTGAGAGTCGAATGATTTATTGTTCAAAATTCCACTAGAAGGTTTTGTCGTCTCCGCTTTACGTTCAAGATAAGGATATCAGCAACATCTTAGGTATTCAAAATTTGTCCAAAAAAACAGCTTTCCAGCTAATGTAGAGCTGTATACATAATCTGAAATTAAATGAGTCAGAAGAAAAAAATCGTACTGTAACATTGATATAAATCTAATTTTATCGCAGAAATCTGGACCCACATTGCAACACAAGTAATCTTGTTGTCCGGATGGGTAACTGTGTTACTGCCCTATGGTGCGACAAACAAAGAAAGGTTATAAAAGTAACTCACTTGCTTTAAAAAAAATTGCAAAGAGATATTAAATTAGATTCTCTTTGTAATTTTTTTTTGCATAATTAAAAAAATTGTTATAGTATACATTCTATGTTATTTAATGTAACAGTCAAGTCTATCAAGAGCTGGGTTTATTTCAATTTTAAAAACAATTGAGTTCGCCCCCCCCCCCCCCCCCCCCCCCCCACTTTACAGCTGCACCGTCAAAATATTACATGTACTTATTCCAATGCAATAAGGAATTTAAATTCTGATGAATTTCAAATTCAAGCCATGCTTAGCGCTTCCTAGTACTTTTAGTACTTTGATTATTTTTTGTTGTTCAACAGTAACGGACCAGAGGTTGTATCACTGAAAACAGTCCGAAATACATATGTGTAAAAAAAATTGAAATGAAAGGTATAACAAAACATTTATTGACTATGTTCTCGGGCAAAATGCGTTTTTTCTTCCCTCGAACCAAACTTTTGGCAGACAAGTTTAGATCTTGGGTCCGACCAATCGCATTTGGCCCTAGAACTCAGTCAATAAATGAGTAGTATTATCAATAGTCGTGCATTGTAAGGTTTAATCTAGATCTGGAAGGGATGTGTTATAAATCTGTATCAATCCTGCAGATCCGTATCAACCTTGAAAGATTTAATGTTATGAAGTCATAGTTCTATCACGCAAAAGAAACTGACATCCCTACCTATGATATACATAATCCTGGTGAAGGTTTTGAAGTCCTTTTTTCGCTGTTTAGGTTAATAAAGATTTTATTAATGAGTCGCATGTTTAAGATATACTAGTAGAAGCCCAATCGTATAACTCAGTAATGTTAATTTGTTATCAATTTATTTTTTTTTTAAAAACATGCTTATAAAAATAAAAAAGTACAAATTCAATCCCTTACAAGTCATGCAATCTCTCGATCGGTTACTGCCACCCTGGCAGCAAATATTCTTGCTTTGTGTCGATAAATGCTTGCGTGATTTTTTCGATATTCTTAGTTGAATAAGGCTTTTTTGAGAGATGATGAAATAATGTTCTACTTGCGTCGATGCGTTGTCGTCTGTGTTCGTCAAAAATGTTATTATATTGTTCCTGATGAATGATGTCTTCTTGAAGTAAGTGATCGCAAAGAGGAAAAACTTCCACAGTTTGTATAAACTGCGCACACGTTTTTAGCAAATGTGTTTGGAAGGTCCCGGGTTCAATCCTAGTGGGAGATGGTTTTTGTATGCTAACGTTCTCAAAGGACTTCTGGACTTCCTCTATTTTGGTGCGATTTGTCTCTACTGCAATCATCAGTTGATCAAGAGAAGTTTGTCTTTCAAAATGGTGGGCTTTGGCGGTTTTCTCAATTTGAATTAACATCCGCTGTAAAGTTCTAAGTGAAGGTTGATCGGGCGATTCATCTTCGTGCTCAATAGGTAACCTTGCAGAACTTGATGAAGATTTTGTTTTAGAAACGGGTGTTAGATATCCGTCCTTTTCGTCATAAACCTCCTTGTCTGCTTTTGAAGATCCGAGAGAGAAAAAGTTCACATATTTTTCCACTTCATTCGTAGCCTCAGTTAAAGTCTGTTGGACTTCGACCGTAAATTTTCCCGCCTCCAACTCCTGGTCAATGCCTTTTAAGGTCCTCACTAATTCGTTTACTGTAACTTTGGCATAAGGTGGAGTGATACCCCTGACACTTTCCCTAGGATTTTCTATTGCCTCTGAGTCATGGGTACAGTACATAGTTTCTATTGCCTCCAACCGGATGCGGAAAATTTCAAACCAGACATACACCGGCGAATTAATATCCACCTCGGAACAAATCATTTTTGTGAAGATACATCTATTATCCTTATGGACATGAAATGTCCCTTTTGGTGACAAGCATACATAAAATTCACCTATGCAATCTTCTTTTTCTAATTTCGTTTCAATGTTTGGACAGAATTCCAAAGAGTTGGACGAATTTGCATCGCTGTTGGAGATACCTATTTTGATGTGATAAAGCCTTGGTTTATCTTTGTCATCAATGTGCCCTGTTTTGACACGCACGGAATGCCTCTTTTCCAGGCTGTTTTCTAGGACTGCATATGCAAGAGGAATCGGAGACCGAAGAGATACTTTTAGTCTTTCGTTTTGTAAATCAATATTTCTGTCAACTTTCCTGTGAAATCGCAAAGCTGCTCTGGTTTCTTTATCTGAAAGGATTCAATAATAGATACAATTACTTGAAACATTTAACAAGAGGCCCATGGGCCACAACGCACCTGAGTAACTTTGGTCATGCTGTCAACCAGATTATCCCCTTGTATACAATGTACTTTTATGTCCCCGGGTCATGATTTGAACAATTTCGAATCAACACCACTCCAGGATGCTTGCACTTAAGTTTCAGCCTTATTTTCTCTGGCCCAGTGGTTCTTGAGAAGATGCTTTTTATAGATTTTTCTAATAGATTTCAGTGTTAAACTTGGATTCCCTATTGTTGCCCCGCCTCGCCCTACCCCTCGTCCGGTGTAATGATTTGAACAATTTTGAATTCACACCACCCAAGGATGTGTATCCACATAATTTTCATTTTAAGGCACCCATCTGAAATACCCGCATCGTCGAAGTGGCGAGTGCTTGGCGAGACATCGAACAGCTACAACTTATTTTATATTGACTTGGATTAGTCACGGCTGGAATTTAAATCCAAGACTTTCTGATCACAGAGCGAGTTCTCCTAAAACGGAGCTACTGTGATAGTCAATAAAAGCAGAAGTCACACAGTTAATTAAACTAAATAATACATTAGCACAATTTCTTACTTTTCATTTCAAAAAACAAATTCTTGGTTGTTTACCTCTTATTTCTGCTATCATGTTTTCTCCTCCAAATTTTAGATAGAATACTATCCATACGTCAGCACCGGGCATTAAAGACTTCCCTTGTGGGGCGGATTCTCTGTACTTTGTCTGAAATACAAACATTTTTCTACTGTCTGTCTTTTTCACAATATCTACCGTACAGTCTCGTTTGTGGAACCGAACGTCGGTCACCAAAACTATCTGACCGTTCTTGACAGCTTGCTGTAAATCACTCAAGTGATTTGGATCAGTCTGTGTCAGCCCAATGCTTGCATGTCCACTTCCGTGAAAAATGGCCTCATACATCCGGTCTTCTGGGAGCGGAAAATCAGAGAAAGCATAACCATAGGATTTTAAAAATTTCCATTCGGCTTTAAAACAATTCTGGGCACCATCTTTCTCTAATGCGATATTATCGCCATGGTTTTCTGAAAACTGTGGTTTCACTGTCTGTAATTAAAGGAAACAAAATAATTTATATGTTATGTACATAAAATAAATGACTTTAAAAAATTGTATTATTTAAGGGAATATATATTTTCGTTACTTTATTCTTTTTGCCCAATGAATAGGGATGGGGTCCTAAGAGTATATATGTCAATAAGAATATATGTATAACATTTGTAGCATGGATACGATGTTAGTTTTAAAGAAAAATCGAGTTTTTTAAAAAAAAAACTGACAAACTACAAAAAAGAGGTCCATGGGCCACATCGCCTACATGCATGGGTATACTGGCTAGAAAAAGTCACGAATCAGCTCAGAATAAAATGGGGATGGGGCTTGATTACGGTTGTCCCCCGCTTTCACTGAGCACTGGGCGCTGGGGATATTAATTTGGGTCTGTCTGTCCATCTGACCGTCCGTCTAGCTGCTTTTCTATCTGTATGTAACACTTTCATTTCCGTGCGATATCAAAGGGAAGCCTTTGAGCGATTTCACTGAAATTATGGGAAATTCTAATGGGTTTCCCCCACTTCTGCACAAAATATTAATTTTTTCCAACCCTTCTAAGAAATACTTTCTTTGCAAAGGCACTTGTTTCGTATATCGGGTCACTGCCTTCTTTTTCCTCATAAAAAGGAAGGGGTGCCCCCCCCCCCCTAAAAGTACTTGTGGTTCTTTTATATTTGAATTCAAATGGGAATTAAAATCACCTTCCTTTGTATTGAGTAAACTGCATTGATGAATGATAGCGCGATTAAATGCATTTAACTGCGAGAATGTGCAACCAAGCACACAAAGAGGAATCATATCTTATGATCTCTATTAAGGGGGATATGACTGAAGCATTTAAAATTAGTCCTGGGGTATATGATAAGAAAGATAGGATAGGAAAACATAATCCATACAGCTCGTTATAAAAGGTATCCAAAATTACATAATTTGGTCTATTGAAGTGAAACGTTGCATGGAGGATCTCTGCTTTTGCTTCGTTTTCTCTTACGGGTGAGGGGACGAAAACATATGCTATAAAACTAAAGAAATTTTAGCTGGAAAATGACGCTCTCAAAGACAATTTTACCCAAGATAAAAATGAAAATAAAAAATGTGTTTATTGTGGACTGGAAACCTCAATTTAAACATTACACATGTACAGTGAGATCTTTAATCTTTTTATTCGTGGATTTTTTTTTTCGGTTTTGGTTTATCTTTCTTTGCTCATAGAAGACTTTTGATCTGTTGTTATGTAACAGGGCGACAGGAAGACTAGAAACTGTATCAGATAACATAACTTTTCCATGAGCTTTATTTCAGCAAACATACCTTTAATCTTCCTCTTTTAACATGTTAGGCAGAAAAAATGGGGTTAAACAAATTGTTGAAACGTACCATAGAACCCCCCCCCCAAAAAAAAATGAAGTTAAAAGATTGAGAATCAGAGATTGTTTTAAGAGCACTGGCGGATCCAAGAATCTTAAAAAGGGGGGCCCGACAAGTTTGGGGTCGGGATAGGGGCCCACAGCCACACCAAGAATTATTAAATTCTATATATATTTTATTTTGGACACGAAAGGGGGACCCGGGCACCCTCCCACTAAATCTGTCAGTGGAGAAAAAAAGGAATGAGAGAGAAGATAAGAAGGGAGTTATTAACAAGAAAAAATAGGACAATTTTCTTATCTGTAGGAAAACTTGAAGGGACATAAATTTAACTGTGTAAATTATTTAAATATATTTAACTCGATTTTGTAAACCTTTTAAGTCACACTGAAATAGACCTCAATAAAGAGAGATGTCAACTAATCTCAAATATCCCCCGACCCACCTCATGTAAAATTAACCACTTTACTATTTTAATGTGTGTCTTACATACGTGGTAATGTGAGGCCATTTTACTTCCTTGGAAACATTATTCTGGTTCTTCTGAAAGAGAATGACATTGGCTCATTTATATATATATAAGTAATTTAATTGAGAAAACTTGATTTTAATATGTGTCTTCATATTATTTTATATAATATTCATCAAATGCCACAATTCTTAAAAACATTGAAGTACATTAAATATCATCTTAAATATCATCATAAAATTCTTGGTCTTGTCATAATTAATACACATTTGAAAAATGAAGCCCCCCTCTCTCTTTCACGACCTTTCTCCCTATGTCCACTCTCTCCAACCCCATGTCTCTACCCTCTATCTCAACTCTCACTGCTTATCTCTCTCCCCATTCCTTCGCTCCCCCACTATCTTTTTGATTTTCCTACTCCCTTTCTCTCCACACTCCCTCTCCAACACCCTCTCTCATAAAAGTCATTCCAAACTTTCTCTCTCGCCCAACTTAGGTACCCACTCTGCCGACTCTTTCATCCCACTCTCTCCACACTCTGTCTTCCTATCCCTCTCTTCCATCTCCCACCTCTCTCTCTTTCCCCCCTCCCTTGCTCTCCCTCCTCCCTCCCCAATCTCTTCCTACCCAGTCCGAACTCTCTCGCTCCCTCCCTCCCAGTCTTTCTCTCTCCCACTCCCTCCCTCCCACTCTCTCTCTCACCACCCCCCCCCACTATCTCACTCCCTCCCACTCCCTTAGTCTCACTACATCTCTCCCTACCACTCACTCCCACTCCTCTCTCTCCCACTCCCTGCCAATCCCCCTCTCTCCCCTACTCCCTGCCAATCCCCCTCTCTCCCCCTCCCACTCAGTTGAGCGATATCCATCTCTCTCTCTCCTTCCCCTCCCACTTTCTCTCCCTCTCTCTATCACTCACGACTTTTTCTCTCCATACTTCTGCTATCTTTCTCACTCTATTCTTACTCATTCTCTCTCTCCCGATATCTCCCCAATCTCTTACTCTCGCTTTCTTTTTTTTTTTCGTTTTTTCTGTCTGACTTGGTTAATTTTAGAAAATGTAAAAATAAACTATATATGCTTTTTACTTATTTGTTTCATAGTTATTAACAATAAAAATGAAGGAAAATTACTTATTTCAGAATAAAGCAATAATTCTTAAAGTTTCTATAAAAGAAATTATAAAATGTTTATTCTTGATTCTTTTATGTTAACTTGGAATAGCAATATTGTTTATTTTTGCAAAAGAATTAATATAATTTAATGTTATAGGGGCGATAACTTCAAAAACAACAGAAAATACTCCATTCCAGTTAACAATTGTTCATTGCGTTACATGTTTTGCGAATTTAATTCATATGCTTGGAGAAAAAAATATCTGCTTAATAACATGCATGAAGCATGATAATTTGTTGTGCTGTTATGAAGAGAAGATGTGCAGCTATGCATGCCCTATATTGTTCACATGCATAGAGATGGTCATAAATATCCTCTAATTGACATAGTGTGTAATAGGTTTTGAAACTCACTATACTTTTCCATTGTATGTATCATATTACTTAAATTCTTTATTTTCATAATTTTTGTCCTATTCATAAATCGTGTCGTTGCGTTTAATGTTACCAGGTAAACCAAATGCACATGCATCGATCATAACTCCATCGTTGTTCTACGCATTATGTGGCATTTCATATTTTCTCATTGCATATTATAAATGTTCTTTTGTTTTGTTTCTTTTTTAAATAAGTATTGTTAAAAAAACTACATATACAATTTACTCTTTACTTGTTGTATGGTTCTACTCTACTAACCATAGATTTCCTAGTAACGTTTTTTGAATGGAAGGTGTTTTACCGTTGGGTCATCAGCGTAATTTGAGTAAATGCTCACATTAGTGCATGTAAACGTTTCACACCATTCCCTCTGCGTTTTATTTTATCCTTCACTTCTCTGGACACTAAATATTATAGTACTCAGAAAAAATACCAATTTATACTTATTAAAGGTCTTGCCCATGTTTTTTTTTTTAAATAAAGTCATATGCATTCAATTAATCAAAGGATAGAAAAGAAAATTGTCGGCTTTAAAAATTGTTTAAAAATTGCGTCGCGCAAAGGCTAGGCCAAGCTTGAAAAATTCTTTGTTTGCAGTTGCCGACCTATAAGTTTTAGACTGGGTCGGTAGGTGAAAATTGGATTTTTGTTAGATAACAAATAAAAGAGGTTTTCATAGACCTACTACACATGAATAAGCTCAACTCTTGTTATAAACCACTGATTGAAAAAAAACAAAAGTCAAAATTTGAAAAAGATACAGTTTCAATATTCAGAAAAATTGAAAAAAAAATAAAATTACAAAATGGCTAAAAAAAAGTTTGGGTCGGGTGCATTTTCAGTGGGTCGGTAGGCAATTGCAAACAAACTTATTTTTATTTTAGGCCCTACATGTATATGTAACACAAGTATAAGCATTCCTAAAAAAAACTTGTCTGGCGCGAGCAAACTTATTATTACGCGAAGAATCAAGAAATTTAAATTAAATGTATGAACATATGATTCCGAGAAACGAATTTTTTTTTCTTTGAAACAACAAGCTTAAGAAAAGTTCGATCCAATGGTACAAAAATAAAACAAAACTTGGAATAAATTCATTCTGTAAATACAACATTACCTGTAATTTCTTTCATAGCCGTAGGAACGGGGGGGGGGGATTAATGTAAAAGATAATCTCGGATAACTATTTTTATGCTTTTTAAAGGTACTCATCTTAAACCGATTTTTTTGAGTTGTACATCACCCTTTTGAAAAGTGACCTTCGGGTCAAGGTAAAAAGGTAAAAAATATTTATATTGAAAGGTACTGTCACAATGAATACATATGTGAAGTATGAAGTATGAAAGCCCTAGCACCAACTTTTTAAAAGCTATGGCCAAGGTCAAATTTTGGAATTTTTTTTCGCAAAAGTGGGTCAAACTCCAAGGTCTAGGTCACGAGATAAAATTCGGTGGTACCCAAAGAAAGGTCTTGTCACAAGAAATACACTTGTGAAATATGAAAGTCATAGCTCCACCCGCTCAAAATATATGCACAAGGTTAAAAGGTGTGCGGAACAAACAGACAAAAAGATAAACAGACAAACAGACAGCTAGACGGACGAACAGAACAAAAACCATATATAATGTACATGTACCCCCAAATCTTCAATTACGAAGCATAAATAAAAAATAAGTTGTGTATCTTTGCATCTTTTTACTTAATGAAATTTTGAGTTGAAAATTAAAGGGGTGTCACATAATTTTACTCTCTCTCTCTCTCTCTCTCTCTCTCTCTCTCTCTCTCTCTCTCGTTGATATATGACGAGGTTTCCTATCGTTGCTAAGTTATGTGCTTAATCTACGTTAACAGAGATTTTTAGAATCTCCTTGATAAATATTTTTTTATTTAGCTGTCTTCAGCATTGTTTTGTTGCTAAAAAGAACAAGTTAACATATCTAAAGGAACTGCTCCCCTTTTCATACAAAACCAGGATCCACGATTTTCTTTTATAGATTTTTATTAAAACCGAAAGTAGCACTGAAAGACACCTTTTTCTTAATGATAGAAAATCATTCTTAGATAAATTAAAGCCATGAGATGAATAATAATTTGTTTCTATATGAGTAAAATAATAAATCTTTAAATATTTTATTATCCCAAAACCCCATCCCCATAACATGCACCTAGCAAAAAGAAAATTAAATCTCAAACAAAAATATTGTATTCATCCATTGATCAATACGATTATACTTTTAAGATATGTTTGTTTATTGATTTTACAAGAAACGAAAACGCTGACGTTGCAAAGGAACTGGGTTCATACCAATTAAGGACGTGTTTTTTTTTTTACCTTAGATAGAGAAGGATGGATGAGAGCGAAAGGGGGGTGGGGGATGGGGGTTATATACCCACTAGGCAGAGTCGGAAGATTTCTTTTACAGTTACTCTAGTACATGTAACAGTTTCAGTCCAAATACGAAATTAAGCGTCTAGGGGTTGGGAACTAACGCTTTTCATGGTTGTATATACTAGTAGATATATAGATCTTTGACTCGTGTCATGTAAATCCCTGTTCCCAAAGGTTGGAGGTCTAAATTCTTTGTTTTTTTATTTTTAAAAGTTGTAATTTTCCTAAAAATGTTACCTCCTACCACCCTCCTACCCCCACCCCCGTTTCAGGTATATCTCTTATTGTAGAAAAACATACACACTGGGAGTACATGCTTATTCGATCAAAATGAATTACATTAAAAAAGTAAACTGAATAACCTAGTAGCTAAAATGATCTAACGTTTAAGAAATGATAACGTATACAGCCTACCTGGCATCCAGTAAAAAAAAAACCTAGCGTTATCTATATATTCCAATGATAGACTGGGAAATTATTTCACCTGGGGAAATCCAGTATGCATGTCCTTCGAATCTGCCTATTCAATAATATAATATGTTCTCCACTCTTACGATAACTGTAGGCAACGAAACTGCCTGTCCTTTTTTTTCGTATTGTACAAAATATATATCATAAAACAATTTTTTACCTGCGGATTCAAATTATAAGACTCGTTAGTTAATAATTTACCCCTGGTTTCGATTTTGATTGACCGTGGCCCACATTTGCACATTACGGGTGCCCAATTCTTCCTGGTGTATTCATAGCCGCCAATGAAAAATTAAATGTCATGCTTTACATACCCGCTTTATTAAAACACACCTTGTTAGAGATAGCTGGGTATGTCGACCCTGACAATGAAGATACAGCTACCGGTAGCTTTTAAACGGTTTTTATTGAGTTCAAGTCTTAAAAAAGGGCTCAATCATACATGTAAATGAGTGCAGGGCCTGAGAAATGAATGTCTCAAGTTCTAAGACAGGCCCATGGACCCCCGGGATATGGGGGATATTTTGCCCCCCCCCCCCCCCAATGATTGCTCTATTTTACTAAAGAAAAGTGTACATGTATCTTCTTGTAGCGATGTCCTATCAATTAATTTGCCAGCATATTTGTGTGAATATTTTTTTTTGCATATTACTTCAGTATAAGTCAAACAATTACATAAGAATTCATTGAAAAACAAAAATTTAATTTACCGCACTGTAACTTCTTCAAATACATGTGATAATATTAATCTCATTGGCGTCGGTAGCAAATTGAAAGGGGGGGGGCTAAGTGTAAAAAAAAAAATTGTACCCTCAAAAAAACCTGATAAGCAAAAAAAAAAAAAAGGAAATGTCCATTTCCCAAACACGAAAATCCTATTTCGGGGGGGGGGGGGGGGGGGGGGGTAGGTTACCTAGCCCCCCTCCCGGTTCCGACGCCTATGAATCTTAAAATTTTGCTTCATTTTCAAAAATTTCCTTTAATTACCCATCCGTCCCCTCTCCCGCCCCTTCGCCGCAAGCACTCGTCAAAATTACATGTTTTAAAATCATCAGGTTAAAAATTGAAATAATAAGTCTTGTCACTAAATTATGGAGTTATTTAAAATCAAATGCAATTTATTGATCGATCAAAATGAAATATCCAAATAATATAAACTTAACAAGATGCAGATGTAGTGAGAATGTATTTCGATCATTATCCGTTGTTAAAAAATTCAACCTATAAAATTCATACCCCGGTATTTCTCTACTAACTTTAGGATTTGATCAATTTAATGTTTTTTCCCATCACTGTCATCAACAAATTTCGATTCAACAAAACTCTGAATTTGGTAGAGGACATTCATGTACCTAGCAAGCTTGTCTTTGACCCAGATTTAGCTAATTATGTACATGCAGTTGTCACGTTCGCTACATTTCTTAACAATTACTAGTAAGATTTAAAATGGGGATAGATTTCTTTTACTATAACGCGGTATACTCAGGATACGTGCTTGCAGTGGGTTGCGTTCGTAGAGTTGCATTTCCAGTGGTGAATCCAGGAATCTTGGAAAAGGGGGACCCTACCAGTTTGGGTGGTATAGGGGCTCATGTAGAGCTGCATAAAAAAATTATTAATGAAATTTTATGTTAATTTTTGACAAAAAATATTTTTGTCCCTCTAAATCCGCCAGTGATTTCAATCTATTTTTCGGGAGGGAGGGGACGTATATGAATTAAGCTCTGGAAGAGCTGCTTTTTTACAATCGAACGCAGTTTTTTTTTTACCGTACACACGGATTTGCAAGATATCTAGACATTTCGTAATGCAATGTGAATAGGAAAGTGAAAAATGAGAGATCATATGAAGCTACATGCACATGTAGGATCTCTTAATGCTTGCTTAAAATTTAAATCATTTATAATCCCTTCTATCTACAAAAATTAGCACTTTAAAAGACTAGAGATCTTCTGGAGGGTCGATTCTGTTCTGGATTTTTAGTTGTGTGTTTGAGGGTGTGTGTATGTGTAGGGGGGGGGGGGGGGGTAATATAACCATAAACTCCTAGTACTCGTTCAATTTGACCACAGGAGTCTGAAGTTTTTATCAACAAAAAAAAATCCGGAAAAAAAAATTCCCCACCCTCAACTAAAAAACAAGTGTTTTTTAAGTTGAGGGTGGGAAATTTTTTCCGGATTTGTTTTTTTTTTTTTTTTTTTTTGACGATAAAAACTTCAGACTCCTGTGATTTTACGTGTCCGTGGCCGGGTTCAAATACGTGCATTCCAAACGAATATTCTTGTCAACGACTAACAATAAATGACTAAGACTTGAAATCAAAATTAGGCTTGAATATTCCAGGATTTCTTTTTGTTGTCTCCCGCTTTCGCGAAAGCGAGGAGACATTAAATCTCATTCGTCTGTCCGTCAGTCTGTCCGTTACAAAAACTTTAACCTTGGCCATAAATTTTGATTTAGTGGAGCTATGACTTTCATATTTCACATGTGTATTCCTTGTGATAAGACCTTTCTTTGGGTACCACCAAGTTTGACATTTTGACCTTGACCTTGGAGTTTGACCCACTTTTACACAAAAAATTCCATACTTTTACTTTGGCCATAACTTTTGAATGGTAGATACTAGGACTTTCATATTTCACATGTATATTCTTTCTGACAAGACCTTTCATTTGATATCAACAACCTTGACCTTCTCTTTTGACCTTGGAGATTTTTGTACCTATAAAGAAATTTAACCTTGCCCATAACTTTTGAATGGTAAGGCCTAGGGTTTCATACTTCACATGTAATTCTTGTGAGAAGACTTTTCATTGCATACCAAAAACTTTAACCCTTTGACCTTGACCTTGGACTTCAGTGATGATTTCTAAATAAATGACATATGACAGGGTGTTCATATCACACACAATATGTCATAAAAAATGACATCTCACCCACAAAGACACCGAAAGCGGGGGAACACAATTCTACCCACAAAATTCTACCTGATAAGGAATGTGTGAGGGTAAGCAAACATTCATTCCGCATCAAAAGAATGGATCTGGAATGTATTTCCGTGTGTAATTTGAATCTTGTCTGGATTCCCCATCGTTTTACCCCGGCGTTATATATTTTGTCATTTGTGCCGGGGTGGGGGAGACAGGTGAATGCCCGCCATTTTCTTCCTTATATTCTTCATTTGCCTAACGCTAAATTATGATATATTAAGAATATGGAAAATAGTTGCACATATTTTGCCTGTGGTATGTGTGGTGTTAGTAGTACACGTGGTGTTTTTCTGGTGGTACATGTGGTGTATTGTCAGTGGTGTGGTATGTGTGGTGTTTTGCCTATGGTACTTGTATACGGGTGTGCTGCATTCGGCAAACCTCGGCTGATTCCGTCATTTTCATCTTGCAAAAGAACGAATCGGTCGAGGTGTGCTGAGTCGGAGTGGGGTATGCTGAACATGCAGAGATAATTCCCATCCGTTCCACCTTGGAGCCGGGAAAAAATCTGGGTGTCTCTTTGTGATCCTCCCCACATATCTTAGTTCGTCTGGGCCCATCTATTGATCCGCGCACATGACATGTGTTTCTGTGATCAGTAGTGCATCCAAGATTCTTGAGAAGTTGAGAGCTGCTAAAGGCCATCAAAGTAGATACAGGGTGGAGTCCTAAGGACCAACGATGGAGACAGGGATAGCACTCGGACACTCCTATTTGAAGGGCTGGTTGCTTTTCTTTTCAAAGCATCCATGCATCAATATAGATCCGTTTGAATTTTTGATTTGAATTAATAAAGGTAGTGTACATACATATAAAACAAACTCATCTCAATATATCATGTATATAGCAGTCTTATAAAAATTAATCCTTTTTTATATATGAAATTAATCTAATTATTAGATGCGTAGCCAGAATGAAAGTTGAGAGTACGCATAGATCAGGGATCTGGACAGCAAGACAACCCCCCCCACCCCAGTAGTAGGTCAACCGTGACACTCGGAGCTCCTCGGGTGGCTCGTACCTCGCACACCAACCGTTTGAATGAAGCGTAAGGGTCTAAGGGAGTCAGCCGAGGATGGCCGATTGCCACCGTAAGGCATCCAGTGGATCCAGGGTGAAATCTTTTGGGTAGGGGGCAAAGCTGGAGACTGCAGTACCTCCTGTGTTTTACACAAAAAAATCAGCATGACACTTTGCTTTCGTTAAGTAAATGAAGGATCAATATATAGTCCTTCATATTATTTTAAACGTAGAATTCTACAATGAACACTCATTGTGCGAATAGTAAGATATAGAAACTGAATTTACATGTATTTTCTGATATGTTGATACACCTGTATCGACAAATTATTTTTATAACGTTTGATATAACAAGTAAATTAAAAAGAAATAGATTTTAAAAATATATTGTATTTCTGTATTTTAATTCAAAACATTAGTGGATCATAGCAATGACAAACTGCATGCAAGTTTAAATTTAATTTCGTTGTCAAGGATTATAAAACATATATAGGACCTAATCTATTTGTGTATTATGAGACATTACGAATTAATTAATATTAATTATGGATTTTAAATTGTTTTACAAAAAGATTTCAAATTTAATTATTTCATTGTCAATTTTTTTTATTGTTCTGTCAGGTTCTCTATGGTAATTAATTTATATTTAAAGTTTATATACTGTATATTTATGAAAAAGTTAATTAACTAGAATCTGATTTAAAAAATAAAGATGTGACTTCTAATGCAAATAACACATAAGATCATACGATGTGTCTCAGCAGTCTCGAATTGTTACAGATTTTTGTTGTACATTCTCTCTCTCTCTCTCTCTCTTACCCGTCATAACCGACTTGTGAGGAATTGGGCGCATGGAATACATTGTGGGGAAAGTGCTTCCGTATTACAATTTTATTAAAATAATAGGCAATTTTTATGGAAAACAACTATATTATTATAGACTCTCCTTTGTAATCGTAAAAATTACCTATCTGTCGTCTCAGTATGTAATCAAAAATTATGGGGAATGTTTTTTATCACTCATTCTTATGGGGAACGTCATCAGAACTCCTCTGGCTTTACTGTTGGATTTAACAATTGTATCATTCTTGATGTTTTTGAACATTTTTCTCCTTATCCTCTACTTATTCGTGGATACAGTTTTACATAGACATGTGGTATTTTGATGTATAGTCTGTTTAAAATCGCTGAATAAATTTTTAACACTGCATAAATGACGTCACAATATTTACTAAACTCGTTACA